TCTTTCTTTCTCTTTCTCAGTTCTCTTTCTTTCTCTTTCTCAGTTCTCTTTCTCTTTCTCTTTCTCAGTTCTCTTTCTCTTTCTCTTTCTCTTTCTCAGTTCTCTTTCTCTTTCTTTCTCTTTCTCAGTTCTCTTTCTTTCTCTTTCTCTTTCTCAGTTCTCTTTCTTTTTCTCTCTTTCTCTCTCTTTCTCTCTTACTCTCTTTCTTTCTTTCTTTTTCTCTCTATCCCTCCCTCCCTCTCTGACGCAGCAGGGGTTTTTATGATGCACTTGCAAACACATGCTTTCCTGTCAGCGCTCGGCGCCACTTCCGCCGCGGAGGAGAGTCGACGGCAGGAGCGGGCGCGCCCCTTTGCTCCCCTCTCGGTTGTTTTTGTCACCCGCTGAAGAATTGGGGCATTTGTCAGGTCGACGCGACGGAACGGAGATAAGCGGGTATTTGCAGTTGGAGGCGAGGGATGCTATAGGGGTTTTCTTGGAAAAATCGTTCGATACTGTGAACATCATTTCACTTCCAGAATTGAGAGGGAAAAATGTCTCCTACCATTTTCGTGAACACTTCAAGAATGCTTCTTCCGGCAGAGAGAACATGAAAAACAATGTGAAAACACGAAGGAAATAGCGTTTTATCACATGTCTTATAACACACTTCATGTGTTCACGTGTAAAATAAATCTTATAAACTTAGTAAAATAGATATACCATACCCAGATATAGAGTATTGAAAAAAGTATTGTAACTGCAAAAAACCTTCCCAATTTTCTTGAAAGAAAACTCGTATTGTGGGTCCATGATACTAAAGAAATGCATTTATCTTTTTCCTATATTTGCTAATTACACCGAAGTATCAGTTCGAAATGCGCGACCGAAGTAATGAATAAACTAAATGTTTTAATGAACTAACATTTTAGCTAACAGAACTGTATGTGCCATGATATTAAGGATAATTTGCAAGAGACTATAATTTACTGCATTTTGCTATCTAAGGCAGAATTCTCTAGTTCACGATGAAGACATGCTAAAAATTGAGCATTTGAGACGATTTATTAATTTCCATGTGTCGTGTTTCGTGTTCAGCGTTCATTGATACGCCGCTGCATATCCTTGTAATAATTTGTCAAAATGCTTGTTTAGTACAATTAATAAATTGAATTAGAACTCAAAAACTGCCTGATTCTTTTAATCCGGGAGAGGTTTCGTCTCTATCATAACAGTTCGCCTGGGAGAAAACGGACCCCAGAGAAGGTTGCGATGCATAGAGGTCTTCTAACATTATGAATTAATATAATTAGAAATTTAAATAAATTCTCAAATTCATTTATCGAGTTCTTTTTATTTTAAATTTAATTATATAAGCTTGTAAAATTCATCAACTCTTAAAGCAAAAAAAAAAAAAATTCATATAATGTGCTGTGCATTTGCACTTTTCATGTTCAAAATGCTTTGCGATCCATATTTTTCTGACAAATATCAATTCTTGGATCTTCTAATTCTTGTGCTTGTTCTGAATGCATATACTGTTTTGTTTTCGACATTATCTCTGGCGTCAATCTTGTTAGTATTGATCTCTATATACAATGGACCAAGAGCGAGTACGTTGCAAAGATCCGTTTGCAATTCTAATTTCTGAAAACAGTCACATTGTTCAAACATTCTCCGGAATGTTTATCGTACGTTCTTGGACTGTCACAAGAAATGGAGGTCACCGCAAAGGCCCCGTGGGCGATGCGCCGGGCGCCTCCTCTGGTGAGCGCAGGGCTAAACTAGGAGGGGCGCGAGAATCTTTGCGATCCCAGAGGCACCCGCGAGATAAAATAAGTGCTAGAATTTACAGCCTGCAATGTGACGAGTATTGGATTTACCAGATGAAAGGTTAGGGGAAAGGGCTGAAAATCTTAAAGAGTTCCTTTACAATATTTTCAAACACAGCTGTTCATGAAATAATAAAGTCTAGGTTTAAAATTTTCTCACTCTTCCTCGCCAGGGGTAAAGTACTCAAGTATGTGAGAAGCGACGTTTTCCTCAACAATTTTAGCCACAATATATACAACATGCAGAAATGGCAAAACGCCCGGCACTGCTGTAGGCATCAGTGTCCCATAAGTTGATGCATTTACTTTTGAATTTTGAAGTGACATTTAAGTTCCAAAAGATAAAATTGTTTTCGTAAAAACTAGTTCTGTCATTCTTAATGAAATTCAACATCGGATCTGTCGATTTCATTTGTCACAACAGCTTCCGGTCACCTGTATACGTATATCTACAATGTTTACAGCGATGTTTATAGTGGCCTGCAGCAGCAAAATTGCTTCTGGACAAAACCGCACAAAAAGTTGTCCAAACAGTTTTTTCATCCTGCTGAAGAACACCAAATAAAATACTCTTGTAAAACTCTTCCATAAATTAAATATTTTAACAAAACAGACTTCACGAATACTACGTACAATAGCTGTACAGTACATACGGATACGGAATACAACAGTTATTTGTGTACATATTTGGCACTTGGGGTCGAATTAATCCGACGTTTGCCAGCCAGGGGTGTTCCCAGGCCTGGGCCCTGTTTTTATTTATCTACTCCTGAGGTTTGGAATACATGAATATTCCCATCAAAGTTCCTAGCTTTTCTACCTGCCTGAGGTTTACATTCGACCCACAGATATAGACGATTGCGACGATTTGTATTATTTGTATTTCTGTTCCGGCCGGGACTCGAACCTGAGACCGCCTCTGAGAAAGTCAGCACTGTGCATAAGCCATCCACGGGACTTCTTTACATAAGAAGAATATTGTAAAAAATGCTGTTCCAGAATCCAATATTTGAATAGTGAATATAATGACGGACGGCTTCTTCCTTGGCGCCTTGCAGACGCACAATGCCAAGCAGTGATAAACTGGGTAAGCAAATTCAGTCGGCAGTACGCGCAATATGAGAGTAGACAGAGTAACACAATAAAATATTTGCATTTTTCAATCAAAATTGAAACTGTTCCACCGAGTTCCTGGGTAATTAACGATACAATAGACACCTCTTACTTCATTGGAGGGTGCGCAATTCGGCTCCGTCAATTTCAGAGCGCATTGGAAATTAGCAACATAGATGGCAGCGCATTGTTTCATCGCTCTCATTGCATGAGTGGTTAGTTTACTAGTTCCTCAACACGAAAGCAAGGGTTAGACGTCGGTTCAGGTGCATTCGTTTTCGAAGGGTCGACCTAAAATCAGACGCTTTTTAAGACAAAAGAAGGTTCTTGTTAATTACATTACATCATATTTTTTTAGAATACATTCCAACATTTCAACTCTCGTAATTAGCAATATTTTTTGTCATTTAACAATTCAATTTATTCATTTCCATGTGGTCCCCAAACATGGGATAGTGAAACTAGAGAGAACTTTCTGTCAAGAAAATTAAAATGTTTTACCTATTTTGTAGGAAAATTTCTCTCTTTAATTTTTATATGCTAGTCTCGATAAAACGGGTAGTTCCTCAAATGTAAGCAAACTAGTGGTGCTATAACAGCAGACTATATTTCGGTCCGTCCGGTAATACGTAATATATTTTTCCTTCCGTACTAACTCATCATTGCTGTTTCTTTTAAAATCATCTACCAATCGTACTGCATTAGGAGCAAAACCTAATTTTTTTGAAGCTAATACAATAATCCAAAATCGCCAATCCAAAACCTTTTCATAAAGCCATACCCATCGCCACACAAATAGAAGAACTCTTATTGGATTCTGATCTCAAACAGCCGTGTAGCAGCATTGCCATTTTATTTCGATCTCATATAACTCCTGAAAGAATCGAGCAAAAGAAGCGCGGAAAATTGGAATTTGCCATTGCGACGATCGCAAAAACTACTCTCAAAACAGTATATCTGACCTTATTTAGAAATTAATTTTATAAAAATTAGTCGTCCTTTTTATAAGCGTGTTTGTTCTATCCCAGAAAAAATTTCACACAAAAATTGCAGCCATTTTTGATACGATTTTGAAAATATTCCTGAGGATTTAAGAAAAGTACCCCCAAAAGGAACTACGTATTTAAAATTCAAGGGCAAGCAATATCAGCCTGCTCCAAGAAGTGCCAATTTTTATGACAATTTTGCCCACGTGTTCTTGACGTATTGACTGACACGGACGGACGGTTTGACATAAATCTATTCTGTTAATTAAAGACTAACGTGAATTCTGACTAAACAACGTGTTAAAGGGAATTGCAATTTGGTACAAGATTTCTCCACTGTTTTTGCATCAGGGTCCCATAATATGAGGTTTTCTGTCGAAAAATCACATTTTTTCTATATAAGGTAAGTAGTATGCAAGAAAGTAAAAATGGTAACAAAATGAATTTGTTTTCCTATTTTCTCTTTTAAGTCGACCTTTCTTGACGTGGCAAACAAATCACAAATTATACATCCCCCAAACATGTAGAATCGTAGAAAAATAACCTTTTAACATGTAGAATCGGTAGAATTCTTTTGCAAACTAAATGCCATATCCCTGTACCGGTCAATTAGTATAGCATGTACTATAACTGTACTAACTGTACGTTCCTCCTGTATGTAATTAAATGGACTCGGGCCCTTAGACCCTTGGAAATCGTTTTAAAATTGAAAATAGCTTCACATTGTATTCCAACTTAGTACAACGGTCAGGTGTAGAATTATACATTACTGTATGGACATTTCTCCACTTCACACAATATGTACGTACAAATTAAAACAAGCCGTGCCCATCCCATTAAATTACACAGAATCGAAATAGTCCATTCAATTCAAGATACGATTTCGAGATTGTGAACTTTTCTGATAACCCATGCTACGGAGGTGTTCTTAAGAACATAAACCTCCAGATGAGTGTAATAGACGTTGTAGAAATTCGTTGTTTTGTAGAATAGGAAGAAGCGTTTAAGGGCGTAGGAGTAGTTTCGCGTGTGTTGTGGTGCGCTGGTGGGGTCACTGACCTCGCAGGCGTCGTAGCCCGCGGAGAGGTTGGCGAGGCCGAGGGAGGCGGTGAGCGTGGCGCCGCCGCCGGGCGCGCGCTCCAGGGTGGCGTCCCCCGTGCGGTGCACCGACGACAGCTGCGACACCCACCCGGCGCGCGCCTCCACCGCCCCGCGCACCACCACCAGCCCGCGCGCCATCGGCTGCGAGAACCTGCGCGCGCCACAACGAGCATTCACACGGCCTTTGTGAGCATTGACAAAAGCATATTACACTTCGCATAACACAAGTCATGTCCCACACATCTTTAACACATCCCACATCTCAAAGAGCATTATGCCATATCGCACAGCACACATCATGACACATCGTACATTGCATATCATTTTATACAATATTTACTTGCTACCTGTTCAATAGCATTACAATTTTTCAGAATTGAATACTATAATACTACATAACGTAGAGGCAAGATGGCAGCAATTAATTGTCAGGTAAATAGTTACCGATAATTTAATAAAATAGCTATCATTAACTTTAATTATCTAATTGAAATTAATTATAAAATGCAAAAATTGAAATAAAGTTTTAATTTATTGAGGACAAAATTTATTTTTTGAAAAATGGGTAAATTTCATAATTTGTTATAGAAATTTTTGTGAAATTAACTATAAACAATTTCAAACAATGAATTTTAAGTTCTCTGTGAATTTATTCGTGATATAAATCGGTAGCATAACACGCTACATCGCACACGTAAGAGAACCAACGGGCACAGAGAGACTGAACTCTGGGCACACAGTTCAGTCTTCATCATGCCATATCGCACACATATTAAAGCCCTCAAGGAAAAGGACAATACATATCACTTCACATTGGATACATGGGAACAGTAGAGGAATAACACTATGACAGAACCAGGATAACTACACAATCGTACTTCTTTTCCGTTTGTCACACGTGTTTTGCTGTTTTTGACTTTTTCAAACAAGAAGAGAGAGAGAAAGAGAGCGAGAAAGAGAGAGAGAAAAGAAAGAGAGAGAGAAAGAAAAGAAGAGAGAGAGAAAGAAGGAGGAGAGAGAAAGAGAGGAGAGAAAGAAAGAGAGAAGAGAGAAAGGGAAAGAGAGAGAGAAAGCGAGAAAGCGCGAGAAAGAGAGAAAGCGAGAAAGAGGGAGAAAGAGAGAAAGCGAGAAGAGACGGAGAAAGAGAGAAAGCGAGAAAGAGAGAAAGCGAGAAAGAGGGAGCAAGAGAGAAAGCGAGAAGAGGGAGCAAAAGAGAAGCGAGAAAGAGGGAGAAAGAGGAAAAGCGAGAAAGAGGGAGAAAAGAGCAGAAAGCGAGAAAGAGGGAGAAAGAGAGAAAGCGAGAAAGAGGGAGAAAGGAGAGAAAGCGAGAAGAGGGAGAAAAGAGAGAAAGCGAGAAAGAGGGAGAAAGAGAGAAAGCGAGAAAGAGAGAAAAGCGAGAAGAGGGAGGAAGAGAGAAAGAGAGAAAGCGGATAGAGAGAAAGCGAGAAAGAGGAAGAGAGAAAGCGAGAAAGAGGAAGAGAGAAGCGAGAAGAGAAGAGAGAAAGCGAGAAAGAGGAAGAGAGAAAGCGAGAAAGAGGAAGAGAGAAGAGAGAAAGAGGAAGAGAGAAAGCGAGAAAGAGGAAGAGAGAAAGCGAGAAAGAGGAAGAGGAAAGAGAAAGAGAGAAAAGAGAGAAAGCGAGAAAGAGGAAAGAGAGAAAGAGAGAACAGCGAGGAAGGAGAGAAAGCGAGAAGAGGAAGAGACAAAGCGAGAAAGAGAAAGAAGAGAAAGCGAGAAAGAGAGAAATGAAAGAAAGGGGGGGGGCGAGAGAGGGCGAGGTACTCACGTTTCGCAGACGTCAGGCAGCGGCGCGCGGTCCAGCCCTGCATCCAACAGAGCGTCGCGCGCCTGCCGCCAACACGCGCGTCGACCACGTGGTTGACGTTGGCGCGTCCGCGAGGGGAGCTGCCGGCGCCACCACTCGCCGCCGCCCCCGCCGCCGCCCCCGCGCCGCCCTGGCTCGGCCGGTGCCGCTGGCGCCGCCGCCGCGGGAGCCTGCGCACACAATGCCGTAAACTCACCGGAACAGTCACAGGGGGAATGGGAAATGTTGTGACCCTTAAAAAGAAAAGTGAAAATGCAAGTGAGAGATAACCACAGTTTAAATTAATAATTACAAATTTTCCATCACCCGATTTCAGTGTCCAGCAGATGACAAAAAAAAGTGTGTGTGTGTAGGGGCGGGGCAGGTACACTATCCACTATACTTACGGGACTAATGGCCTTAGTATTTGACTCTCCAATGAATAGTAATTAATCATTGTCATTGCCTCTGTGATTAACATAATTTTCGTTTCGTGTCACCGCTATTGCCAATGCAACGGCCCGCGCACCTGCTGCTGCTGGGTCTGCGCCGCCGCGCACAGCAAGAGGGCGAGCGCCGCGCGCAGCGTGGGGCTGTCGGCGGCGGCGGTGGTGGCAGTGCCTGCGTCGGTGCTGCGCGCGCCGCCCGCCGTCGCCAGCACCGACCCCCACCCGCCTGCAACACAGCACATGCACTTACGGAACGGCGCTGACAGCGTGGGCGTGGGGTTGGAAAGGAAATGCCCACCGGCCCCAAAATGTACGTCTTTACCGTGCTACAGATGCGGCTGTAGTTCCGCAAAGATGCTGTAACCGGACCACGCCAGCCATGCTTGGATGGTATAGCATGAACACTCATTGTAGAAGGACCTTCGGACCATATGATCGTGGAATGTACCAGCTGACGGGAAGACAGTTATATACTAACATTATTCCGTGGTTCTTGGCAGATGCGGGATTTCGGGTCTTTTATTAATGTGTGTGTGTGTGTGTGGGGGGGGTAAAGTGTCTCCCCAGATAAGATGGTAAAAGGTTCCCCTTAATCAAATGACATATGAGTAGTTCCACTATGACTCCGTGGTCGGACGTCAAGGGTCAAGTAGTGGGAGAAGCGGCACGACGCGCCGAGTCAGCTCTGTAAAATTGGTGTTGTGACAATGCCCAACCCTTGTGACGACTTGGGCATTAGTGAGCATTAAAGTTTTGGGGATTTTTTGTGATTTACACAGCCTCTCACCATCCTCAGTGGCGAGCGGACTTTCCTGACCAGAAGGATATCGTGGAAAAGAATGGAATGGCCAATTTTCCATGCGTTGAGGGCTGCGACCGACTTATTTATACAGTATTATTATACTTGTAATGGCAAATGTGTTGCCGGGGGGTTTCTCAATGGAGCCCGACCACGAAAGTCTACGATTTCAGAAATTATCAAGTTATTTACCTCGCGACGTATTTTACATAATGACATCTTTGGTGTCTTTTAAATACTAGGCCCTTTTGTGTCCCCCTTCTCCGTGTCAAGGTTAGAGAGTGAAATATCTACATTTGTATTAAAACACGTTTCGCTAACATAATACATTAATAACATAAGATAATACATTTCAAACTTGGCACCTTGGAGATGGTTTAAATTTGGTCCAAAAACTCGTGTATTCTCTTACAAGTAACAAGATTTAATTTTATATGAAACTCTGAAAATAAACCTTCAAACTGCTTTGAAAAGTGACCGGTAGATTACTCCATCTCCGGGCCAGCTGGCGAAAAAGCCTTTCAAATAGTAGAAATTTCCAGGAATCCAAATTTTTCCATAGAAGACATGATGAGATCGTGAGAATCTGGAACCACGAGCAGTTTCATAGCAATCGTGTAGCGAAGATAAGTAATGCGCGAATTGGGCATATTGAATGTTAGTTGGTACGTTAGCAAGCCATTCCGTCTCCGTGACCCGCGCTCTGAGACGCGGCAAATATAGCAAAAAGCATAAATGACAAATAGAATTCGTAAGTAGACCGTTATTTTCGTCTAGAGAAAAGTAATCATGACAATTTCTTCAATACCCATTAATTTTTACGCTAAGGTTGTTATCGTTATCTTTTCAATTGTGTGTTGTCTTTTCAGAATATTCTCGTCAGAAGACAACACAAAAAGGCGATGTATGGAACTTCTCGTCAGAGTTTCTGCAAATGCTATCCCAATCATCTAAGCAATATTTCACCCAAGCATCTTCAACATAGACGTGCCGCAAGGCTGTGTGGTGAGGTCGGTACCTTATTTGTTGTACTAAATGATTTATCAGTACTAAAAGACGCCAATATTTCGAATTGAAAGATATGCAGGAACTCAATTCATATTAATATTAGTATATATATTTGTTAACTTATTTTCCTCTTCATACGAGTAGGGCAGGGGAAATGTATCATCAATATCCACATCAAGAGGTAGACTCCCTAATCTGTTTTGTCTCTATTTTCGCCAGCTCTTCAAACGACGGCTTACATTAATTTATACTTTTTACTATTGGATTGGATTGTTACAGATGAGAGTTCTCACAAGCATACATGGTAATCTATGTATATTAAAAAGGATGTTGGTAAATTTGAAATGGACTGACACCGCCTGATCGATCTCCACGAAAGTTGAAACATGTAAGTGTTTTTTTCATGGATAAGGTTTTAATACTGTCTCTTTGTTGTCGCTGCAGCACAAAATGTCGCTGCTGCGCTTCAACGTCTAATCAAGGAATCAAGGATCGTCAAGAAAATTCGTAAACACAGGTATTTAAAAATTGAGAACATTTTCGATTATTCAATTGTTAGTTATTGATAACTCCAGATATTCAATAATTGCATGATCGATAAAATAATAGTAACTGATTTCGCGCTGCTAATTTTGCTTTAACGCATCAATACGTTATTTCATAGAGGCATGTGATTGTTATTTCATACATATATTCATTAAAATTGTCTGCCTTTAAACAAAAATTAAACCTTTACCAGAAGAAAAAATTCTAGATGTCACTGTTCGACGTAATCAGACAATGCGTCTCTTCGCAGGAAGCTATGGACGACGCAGGAGGTGACCGTTTTAGTAGGAGCTACAATAATTAACGGCAAATGTAAAGGAGAAGATCAGCTAATTACATGGATATTAACTATTCAAACTGATTTGCTCTGTACATTCAAACGACTACAGTTTCCTGTAAGTCTTCATTTCGCATTGGCAATCAACAAACCTCGCGGACAGTTGTTCCGCGTTGCCGGATGTCCATTTTTTTTCATTGATACCTATAAGCTGCTGCTCAAAAATCTGTTCATCTATGCAAAAATCCAAACTTATTGTTTAGCCACTTCCTTTATCCCAGATATGTCTGACAGAACAACGTCTGTCCGAACCTTCAAGTACCGATATAAACTAATGGATTTACATAACAAACTTTGTCTCTCTACTGGAGGTACGGCGACTAAGTATTCTTCATTAACTGCCAATACCCTTTTTTTTGTAGTACGTATATAAGAATGCCAAGGAGAGTACAATGGGTGACTTATGATTATTTTATATTGTAAATATCCGTTTATACCATTTACTGTTAATTTATATTAAGAACTATATTTTTAATTGTCGTATATAAAAAAATGTAATTTTTTTGAAGAGATTGTATTCTCCATTTATCACCTGTAAGATCTATAACATGTTGACATCGATATTGCTTCAACAATTACTGCTCACTGTTTCACTAAAGAACATAACACGCTTTTCATAATATTAAAACAAAAAAATCCTTTGATACAGATGTAATGACTAAATATAAAACCCACTTTAAATATTATTAATTGATTGTTAGTGAAACCTGTTTTGTAATGATGTTACAACAAATGTGAATCATTCATACGTTTTGGTATTTCCTCAGTATAAAATTACCTTTTATGTTGCAAGAAATCGTTCATAATCGGACATTTTACGGCACAAATGATGACGTATTAGATTTAATGTCCTTAATGATTGCGTCATCACACATTCAGCCTAACACATTCTAGCTAAACGGAGCAGCCGACCAACCGTTTACTCGCACGATGTCAAATACCCAGTCGCCACAGGGAAGTTGTTTCGCAAAATTAGTTTGATTCTCTATAAATGTATAATGCTGTTATACAAAAGAATAAGTATGCAACTCGTTTATAATGTACTTTATTACATTCGTAGCTCTAAAGTCGCTCGTTTTCAAAAATGTACTCATGCAATAAAGCTTAACATTATAAACTAATTGCATAAACTACTATTATCTACGGCGATAACAAGTTCAATTAAACTTGATTGTTTTTAATTATATTTGTTATATTTTACATGCATGTGTTAATTCAAATAATAATTTTTTAGTTGGCAACTTTTATTAGTTAAACGTTTACATTGAATCGTTTTGTGACAGTTGGCAAGTAGAATTCAGCTAAGGTCACCTAGCGAACAGCTCCTTTACTCTACCCACAGCAGGTGGCTGTTTTACTAGACCGCCTGAGAGGGAGTACAAACGTTGCGGCAATAATTCCGACCTCACCATTTTCGCTTTTTCCTGTATTTCTGGAGGTGTCAACTCTATCTTTGATTCACTGGACATTTTAAATTAAAGAATTGACCTGTTGTAAGGACAACCACATGGCAGCAACATATCACAAATAACTTGCGTTCATATCTTAACGTCAGTCAAATGTTTTCTCCAATAACTACCACTGCGCTAGTCAAATAGGATCAAAGTGACATTACGATCCAATTTATTTTAAATAATATTTAACTTAAAAAATTACTATAAATAAGAGATTAAAACTGAGAATCATAATATAATATTAAATGCACTTTTAATATTCACAATCGAATAAAAAATTTACTACAACGATTCTCAATGTTTAATTAAGTTCAATACTTGTTACTAAGCTTCTCTGTGGTCAAGAACCTGTATCATAATAAAATCTGTATCGTAATGTGCAACGCGTTACGCATTACACAACGAGTTACATCCCTCAGATGACAGAATTATACAATGGGAGTAGAAAAAGTGTCATTGAATCGTCATAGATAAAACTTTATAATTATACTACAAATGACTGTAGTAAGATTATTGAGACAATTTCAAACAATGACAAACAAAGTCTAGAAACTAAATCACAAATAAATAAATATATTATACACTATTTAATAATTGAAAATTATTTCGAAGATTACACAAAATAGAGCTTCATACAATAAGATCATACAAATGAGAAGATTTGTTCAAGGCACACATTACTGAAAATTAATTTTATTCAGGCAGATAGAGACATGCGAGAGATAGAGGTTATTCAGCTCAGAGCATTATGAATGACAAGAAATCGCATTCCAAGTTCAAACCATCTCAGGATGCAGCATGCGTCAAGAAGAAAAGTCTTATAAAATTTGAGAAAAGAGCTTGAAGCAAACATCTTCAATTCACGCCATCAATATTTACTTTTCATCAATCGTTGCTAAAGATTCAGAATTACAATATTTCAGCCATGTATAAAGAATGTTGTGCATGCATGTCATTCTTTATTCTAATCTGAGAACTAATACTTAATTATGACCTAAACAAACAAGCTACTTTGTTGCTTGAAGTTTCTATTTGATTTTAGTGCTAGATAAAAAAATAACATGGTTATTTATGAATATTGGTAAAAAGTGGTGAACTTACACCCAATGAAATTAATAAATAAAAAAACAAGATATTGCTAAAATGTAAAAGTCTACACTTAGTAGAAAAGCAAGAACTTCCCCCCCTTAAACGATTTTAATGACACAAACATATCACGTACAATATCAGTTATCGAACGTGCATGTTAGTGGCAGATTCAGGGGGGAGGACATGCCACTTGAGCCACATTCTTTGTAATAATTTTTCTAAATTTGTTCAAAACAATTACTAAATAAAGATCTCATCACATTCAAAACAGCATTCCCGTTACTAATAAACTCGTATATTTTTGACTTCCACCTCCGCCCCTGGCGTCTGCCCACTGAAACCGAAAGACTCACTCCGTGACGCAGCAAACCTTTGTTGGGGCAGACAGAATTTCATATGAAGAGGTAATCAGAAGCACCGCGGGCGATGAAAAAAAACGGTCAAGTTTTTGAGACACCGAAATTTAAATTGAATTTGGTGCATTTGAAATATTAAAGAGAGATATTGAAGTGTGTGGTACGACGTGTTAAGGTCAACATATTACCTCATTAGATCCCATATTTCATTATCAAAAGAGACAATTATTGTTTAAATTAAACGAGTGGAAATAAGTTGATATTAAACATT